AAAATACTAATTGTCATCCGGAACTGTCTGCGTGGAATTTAAAAACAAAAGTAGCCTGTCTTCTTCCAGACAATCTACATCTGTGACAAATTGCATCAAGATCCGGTGGACAGTTCTGGAGATGCCATTTAACATTCATCTATCTGTACTTACACAACTTACTAATTAATATTATGTATAATTACATGCAAAAGTTTAGATGGATGGATGTTTGCTAGCAATCTCCGGAACGGCTCAACGGACTTCGATGAAATTTGACAGATGTAGAACATATTTTTGTAAACTAGCTGATGCCCGCTACTTTAAGACAATGATAAACAAAACTACGTATATAAAATTTTCATTCATTCTATTAATAAATATTGAAACTTATTTTTTTTGCGCGCATATGGGGTTGCGGTAAAAATGTAGTTTACAATAATAAGAAGTATGGAACGTTAGTGTGGTGTGGAGTACCTCGTGCTCGGTGGCGAAGACGTCTCCCTGGTTGATCTGCTTGTAGAGCGGCACGGGCTCGGCGTCGCCCGCCTGCTTGCCGAACATCTTCTGCAGCTGGTGGAACTTCGTCGTCTGGTTGGCGCTCGTCTTCTGCGACTTCTCGTTTATACCCACCTGAAAACACATTAATGTTCAATATATAACTATCGGTTAACAGATATCTACATTTATAGTTTATTTAAAATTACAATATTCAAGTTGATTTGTTGGAACGTGACTATGTAAATCAATATTACGTACAATCGGGAAATCTGGTAGTATTATTATATATTATTGTATTATTATATATTAGTATTAATTTGTTAATGGACGACGCAGTAAGTTAAAACCGGGTTATTCAGAGAACCGCCATCTAAAGATCTTCTAAAATTGTTATAATAGTAAATACAAAAAAACACTACAGATGGCGTTACTGATAAGATTTGATTAAAACATGCATATCAAAAATAATTATTTTAAATAAATTATGATTATTCGAAAGGTTCGCAGGCCGCAGCTGGTATGAAACGTTATAACGTGAGTGTGTGTGCGGTGTATCAGCGCGTGTTGTCGCGTGATGCCGCGTGTTGTGGTGTGTTGCTGTGTGATGCCGCGTGTTGTGGTGTGTTGCTGTGTGATGCCGCGTGTTGTGGCGTGTATTTGAGTGACGCCGGGTGTTGCCGCGTGTTGCCAAGTGATGTCACGTGTAGTATTTTGTTGTCGTGTGTTGTAGCATGTTGCAGCGTGTTACCTCGTGGTGCGTGTCGCGCGGCTGCCAGGTGGCGAGCGGGCGGTAGTCGGGCGTGGTCTCGCGCGACAGGAAGG